GGGTATCATTTGGTGTGTGAAAAGTACATTCATGTCTATTCTCTAATCTCACTTATAAAGTCACCAGTATTCAGTCATGGACACTCAATGGCTTCATCTTTAAATACCTTAGTATTTGTAGCACATCATGGTAGCTGATGGTACTAATAACACCAAGGTCTGAGGGTCTATCCTTGTATGTCCCATAGTACTTCATAATGGGGATTAAACCCTACCTTCTAGTTTGAAATGAAATAAACTACGTCAAATCAGAGCAGTGGGTTTATGTACTAATTTTGTTGCTCTCTTCAGGTCTCTTTATAATTAATTCAGGACCAGAGTAATCCTGCTAAAATTAAGTCTGATCAAAGTTTCTTAGTGATACTGCCTTTACTCAGAGTAAAGTCCTTACTTTAGTTTACTGGGTCCTATATAGTGTCTTTGTGGTGTTGATTTTCTGTTATGCTGCTGCTGTTTCCGCAACGCCCCGATCCAGCCATAGCGACTTCCATTGTATTCCTGTGACTGCTAGATTGGTGCCTCACTCAGAGTCTTTGTGCTTTTATTTGGAATGTTCTTCTCTAAAATACTCTATAAGGCCTGTCCTGTCATTTCTTGTTCTTTGTTTTCAGTGACTTTTCCCCTATCTCTCTAAGTAAAAATTGTTTCTGCCCCTGAAAGTTTAAATTTTCTTTGTTTCTTGCCCCTTTGTTTGTCCTTAATACTTACTTAACATTGTATAAATATTCTCTTTTTATGTTTCTTTTTTATACTCTGTTTCCCCCACAAGGACAGGAATTTGTATCTTTGGTCATAGTCAGTGCCTGATGCATAGTAGACATTGCAATATATACTTACTGATTGAATGAATAAAAGGATTTAGATAGTTTTTAGGTTAGAGTTAACACTAGGTAAATTTTAAGCTATAGTTAACACATAATTTCACTGTATGGATTTTTTTTTGTTGAGAGAAGGGTACTGGGATTGGTGGTATAAATGCATTTCTAATTATTTAGCCACCTTATTTTAAATAATTTCTGAAGCCAAGGTTCCATTGCTCTGAAGTTACTTACACCAAAAATTGCTTGTAATATTTTAAGTTTTGATTATACTCATTGTATCTTGTAATTACTTGATTCCATTTCATTCTTACTTTTCTGTCCAGTGAATCTTCTCATCTGTTGTACCTGTTGGAACAGATCTGGAAAGATGCCAGGTTCATTGTGCAGATCATGTGTGAGCTAAATGTTCTGCCATTAGCATTGCAGATCACTAACATCGCCGGGAACATTATGGTAAATTTAACTTCGAAAGGGGAGAAAGCATTTCCTGGTAGAGTCAGGGTTTACTTGGGATAGTTGTTATAGGATAATGAGCCTAAATGCATGCTTATAAAATGAGGAGCTGGATTCTGAAAGCTGGGCTTCTTTTGTAAAAGAACAACTGGTTGGGAGAAAGGGAGGAATGCCAGGTGCACTATGTAGAGATTTGGGTGAACATAAGGATCTTATTCTAACATCTGGATGTTTTTGGTGAAGTGATACACTGACAGTATTTTAAGCTCCCTTTTTCTCTCTTAATGCTTAAAGAGAAAGAAATAGTTTAGAAAAAGTAACCTTTGTTACTATGAGTAGTTGAAGGAGGTTCCATGATTAAATTAACTGATTCAACATTGCTTTCGTTTGTGATGGTTTTGAGCTCAAAGTTTGAAAAATTCTGTTTAATAGTCCAGGACACTGATGGGTGGACGATCTGAACGAAACGAGTTCTTGTTGCTTCATGCATTTTATGAAAACAACTATATTGTGCCTGACAAGCAGATTTTCAGAAAATCTCAGCAAAAACTGGTGGGTCCAAAATTGTATAGTACTTTGCCTTTTCTTATTCCTCCTTTTTATTACATAGATAGTCTTTTTTAAAAAAGTGCTTTGACATCTGCTTTTAAAGTTATTAGTAATTCCCGGTAAATTAAGATTACTCTTAAGCTTGCTCCATTGTGTCTGTGTGGTTGTTTCCCTCTCTACTTTTCTCTGTAGAGGCAAAATTATTTATGAGATGTCTTTGAGGACCTCATTAGACTTCTTTGATAAATGACCATAGATAGAAAGGATTTGCCCCTACTAAGATTTACCCAGAGCTAAATATCAGTTAAACCTTTTGTTGCTTTAACCTTTGAGCTTTTGTTTTTGTGTTGTAGTTTATAGATATGTTGAGTATCCCTAATCCAAAATGCTTGGGATTGGAAGTGATTTAGATTTATTTATTTTATTTTAGAATGTTTGCGTATATGTAATGGGAAATCTTGGGATGGGAATCTATGACTAAACACAAAATTAATTTATGATTCATATGTGTGTACGTGTGTGTATGTGTGCATGTGTGTATTACCTAAAGGTAATTTCATAGTATTTCATCTCTTGACACATGTGGTGACATGTGCTAATTTTTGCTTGTAGAGTCATGTTGACACTTACAAATTTTCAGATTTTGAGATTGGGGACACACAACCTGCTACTAGTGTGATTATGACACCAATCAGGTTTCAGAAGTATATTCTATGACTTTGGAACTAAAACAGTCTATTTTCCATTTTATCAGCACTGATAGTAATTAAGAATGGTAATTGAATGTTAAAGTGTGACTCCATTTCTTGTATTTTTTATGCACATTATTGAATATAGTACAGCAAATATTAATTTAGATCTATTTAACTTCTGCAGAGGTGTTGAATGTTGGCTGTTAGTAAACTACTTGGAAATGGATTTTTCATTTTGTGGGCATACTTATTTTAAGGAATCCATACTAATACTGACAATAAGCCATGCATGATGGTACTTGCTGGAGTCCCAGCTACTTGGGAGGTTGAGACAAAAGGATTGCTTGAGCCCAGAAGTTTGAATAACATGCCAAGACCTCATATCATAAAAATAATATTAATTAGAATAATGATAATGAATGAGTAGAATGTTTTATCCCCTTGCCTCAGAGTAGTGATTTTTTTTTTTTGAGACAGAGTTTCTCTGTGTATCCCTGACGGTCCCAGAATTTGCTCTGTAGACTAGGCTGGCCTTGAACTCAGAGATCCACCTGCCTCTGTATCCTGAGTAGTAGGATTAAAGGCATGTGCTACCACCACCCGGCCAGAGTAGTGAATTTAATAAAAAAAACAAAACTTTACAATCTCAAAATTTATGTAACATGAAGCGTTTTAATACCTATTGATTTTAAAATAAAGTTTTCTTTTTTTGCTCTCTCTCATATATATATATATATATATATATATATATATACACACACACACACACATATGTATATATATACACACACATATATTTATATATATATACATATATATTAAAAAATTTTGACATGGTCTAATGTAGCTCAGGCTGACCTCTAACTTCTTGTATATCTGAGAATGCCTTTGAATTTATGATCCTCCTAGCTCTAGCTTCCAAACACTGGACTTACAGGTATGTGTCATCACACACCTGGTTTTATGTGGTGCTGGTAATGGAACCAGGGTTTTGTAAGTGCTAAGCAGGCACTCTGTTAGCTGAGCTATTTCCCTAACCCTTAAATGAATTTTCTAGAATTGCAGAGACATTTAAATACAGAATTCAGAAAACTGGTTATTTACTTAAGACACTACCATGCTTGGCATTCATTTGGATCCATGAACATATTAGGATAATAGTTTTTCTCTGTAGGTAGGACCACTAAGTAAAAGTAAATATTTTTTGTAACCCAGTATCGTTGGACTTGATGGACTATTTCCATTTGAAATAGGGAGATGAAGATGAGGAAATTGATGGAGATACCAATAAATACAAGAAAGGACGTAAGAAAGCAGCTTATGCCGGAGGCTTGGTTTTGGATCCCAAAGTTGGTGAGCTTTGGTAGCAGATTGGTTTGCCCCTGATATTAAGTTAGTGTTCTCAACCTTCCTAATGCTGTGACCCTTTAATACAGTTCCTCATGTCGTGGTGATCCAACCATAACATTATTTTGTTGTTACTTCATAATTGTAAGTTTGCTACTGTTAGGAATTTTAATGTAAATATCTGTGTTTTCTGATGGTCTTATGAGACCCCTGCAAAAGGGCTGGTCAACCTGCAAAGGGGTCATGACCCACAGGTTGAGAACCACTATATTAAGAAATAACTTCACATAGAGCTAGACTTAAGAAAATAGACCTTAGTTTTATTTTGGAAATAAGCAAACTGGTTTCTTAAAGACCTTAGTTTTATCTTTTATGCATATGAAATCTAGCTTACTAGTTACTTAACATGGAATTAGTATAAATTCTTTGCCATATGTCAATACAGTTTTACTTACATACCTTGAAATTTAAACTTCATATATCTTACATATATATTTTACTTTTTTAGCTGTTTAGAAAATTCTTAGTTTATAGGTGATAGAAGAATACACAATAGCTCAAATTTGGACTTTATTCAGTTCCAATCCCTGCTCTAATATAGAGGTCACTGTTTGGCCTGTAGTAGACGTAACTAATTTTCCCTCTTTATGTGAGAGTGGCCTCATCTTTGCCCAGTGTGCCAGGTAATTTGGAAAGCAATGTTAAAGTAAGTAAAATAACGACTGAATTAAAATTTCATAGGAGAGCACCTTTTCTTTTTTATCCAGAAGGGAAAGATGGTTTGTGATGTTTAGAGGTTCATCTTTATTGTTTTTCAGATCATCTTAGTTGTTTCCAAGTGTGTATAGCTCAATAGTATGATTATGTATAGTCACATTTAATGTGAATTTTATCAAGTAACGCAGGAGGAGACATTTTTTACAAAAGCAGTTTTATTAGTTGCTTTGACAAGGAGTGATACTTTTGGTGTCAGATTTTGGTTTAGGTGCTTCCTATTTAATTTCTTTTAACCTCAGTTTCCTTTTCTGTGAAAAGGAGATGATGGTATCTGCCACAGAAGAGCAGAAGGAGTAAGTGGGATTGTGTGATAAAGAAATGAGGAGTAAGCTCCCAATGCAAGTTTGCAGTTCTGTTTCAGTGGACATTTATATTGTCAGTTTCTTCTCGAGGTGAAGATAACTTTTTATAAATGTCCTAGAGAAATATAGTAGCTTTCTGTTCATCCTTTGCAAGAAGAGAGGATGGATCGTTCCACTACTGACATTTATATATTCATCTCTTGATTGATCTTAAGTATAGTTTTTGTATAGGTAAATGTGCTGACTATTTTATTTCTTGAAGGTGAGGTTGTAAAAAATATATATGTAATATAAGTACTCACTGCATTTTTATTTATGGTGGGGTGAGAGTAGTGGGAAAGAATGCTTAACTGTATTTTTGGGAAATGAACATGATACATTTCTAAAACAATTAACAAGGGAAGGTGTTTGCACATAATGATGTGCTTTGGGACTGCTGGGGAACAGGCTGATTGTCACTGGTTCCCAAATAAGGCAGTCTTTTCACCCTTTCTTTTGTGATCTGAATTTTTACTATAATCTAAGTCATTTTATGGATTTGTAGTTACCCTCCCCCCCCATTTTTATCTGCTTTACAGTGCTGGATGGTTATATATTTTCTATATAGAGTACTTTTAATGAGGTATTTTGATGGCACTTTTCTTTAGACTTTTTCTTTTGACGTTATGTGGCTTTTTTGTTTCAGGTTTTTATGACAAGTTCATTTTGCTCCTGGATTTCAACAGTTTATATCCTTCCATCATTCAGGAATTTAACATTTGTTTTACAACAGTACAGAGAGTTGCTTTAGAGGTGCAGAAAGCTACAGAGGTTTGTATTCAACTGGGGGCTCTTGAAGTCAGTGTTAAAAGTATTCCTTAAAGAAGGAAAAGAGCCAAAGGGGTTTGTATCATAGTTTTTCCTTTTTCCTGTTGATGGTTGCATTAATAACATTTTTTCTTTGGTATGTTTTTGTGTACATGTGTATTCATGTGTGTACGTGTATGCGTGAAGGTTGGACATTGACTGCCAGTGTCTTCCCCTATCACTCTTCACCTTAATGTCTGATACAGGGTCTCTCACTGAACCTGGAGCTCGTCATTTGTGCTAGATTGCCTGGCCAGTGAGCTCCTGGGGTCTGCCTGTCTCAGTCCCCCATCCTCCAACTGCTTTATAGGGGTGTAGCACCACGTTGGCTTTACAAAATATTCATTATTTTTGTTTGTGCATCAATGTAAATGTGCACGTGGAGGTTAGAAAACAACTTTCGGGACTTACCCCTCCTTTCAGTGTGGGTTCTGGGGATCAAACTTAGTCTGTGAGGCTTGTACATTAAGAACTTTTAGCCATGAGGTGGCAGCACATACTTTTAACCCCAGCACCCGGGAGGCAGAAACAGGTGGATCTCTGAGTTTGAGGCCAGCCTGGTCTATAGAGTGAGTTCCAGGACAGCCAGGGCTACCTAGAAAAACTTTGTCTCAAAACAAAAAAATCCCCAAAAGAACCCTTTTACATTCCTGCAGGCCATGTGCCTGCTCTTTCCTAGGTTGTGGTGATACGAACTCAGGTCGTCATGCTTTCTCAGTAAGCATTTTGCTCATTGAACTGTATCTCCATCCTTAATTATATACTTTCTTCATCATCTAAAAGGAGGGCCGACCAAAAGGAGATTTAGACTGGTTCTGTGTCTTTGTTAAAAAAATGTTGTAGAGCTATAATTCACTTACAGTCTACCTATTTATAGTGTGCAGTGATAGTTTTTAGTGTCTTCATAGTTTGTACACCATTACTTCATTCAGCTCTATTATTTTACAAAAACCATTTTGCTGTCACCTCTATCAAGTTCCTCTATCCATCCCAGCTCTAGTCAGCCATTAATTTTTTTTTTTACTATAGATTTTTATTAATTTGTTCTTTGGCAGTTTTGTGAATGTATATAATGTATTCTGTTTACTCTCATCCCCACCCTTTATCTCCTTTCTCTCTGCAAGCCCCCGTTCCCACGTTCATGTCTTCTTGTTTGTTTGTTTGTTGACCATGGCGTTTGGAACTATCTATTGGTGGTGGTTTGTCTTCTCACTAGAAACCACTAATCTTTCTGACTGTAAAGTTGCCTACTTTGGACATTCTATGTAAATGGAATCATATAGAATGTGATTTTTTTGGTGCGTGTTTGGCTTATTTCACTTAGCATATTGTTTATAAGATTCATCTGTGTTGTAGCATATACCAGTACTTCATTCCTCAATAATCCTGTCTCAGTGCAGCATTGGATTATTACTCATCACATTTATCCATCTCACCCTCTGTCCCTTCCTTCTTTTTCTTCCTGCTTTCTCCCCATTTGACCTCCAGGTTCTGAATTTATATATCCTTTAGTTTCAACATGTCTGGTATTGTTTTTTTTTTCAGTTCCAATTTCATATTCCCAGAAGAGAGAGTATCTGATAGACTTGCCCAAGTCAGTCATCATCCCTAGTCCCATCACTTCTGTTCATGGGGGTGGATTCACTCACTATAAATCTGACTGCTAAAGTGGACCTCTCTGTGGAACTAGAGGATAATTTTACAAGGAAAGTATTGGATAGACAACCCTCCTAACTAGTAGCGGCCGTTGATACTCTTTGGCTTTGTCCTGCTATTTCCCAAGCACTGTGACAATTAACATTGTTCTGCTTTCACAACTGTTGCCCACCAACGTTTTGCCTATTTGAACTTTTCATTTTGGGTTCTGGATATATAATAGAGTGGACCGACGCACGAGGTCATCTTAAGAAGCATTATACATGTAGTAATTTATGAATTCTTTATCATTTTCATGTACAGCACCTTATTTGGTTTTCAGAGCAGTTAGTGTCACCCTGGAGGTGGTGGTAAGGCTTCAGCTGAATTATAAATTTCCTGACCCAAGAATCTTTCAGATTACTTTTTATGTGACTCTAGTTGCTGTAAATAGAGTAGAATGTATACCAAGGTCTCTTTAATAGGTTTGCTATCATCATGTGCTATATTGGAAAACAATAGGTCCTTATTAGTATTGTAAGGGTGTTCATTTTATGATATTGATCTTCATAAAATCAGATACTTTGTAAAGGCTGGGTTATCAAATGGCATTGACTTGACATGCTTTAAGCCAAAAGGTTTATTTTTAATTTTGAACCTTTCAAAGGGTAACTGTGCCTGACTGTTCTTTGCAGCCTGTTAATAGAATTAATGGAGGCTTAAGAAAAAAGCCCTAATGCTTTCCCGGCTTTTTCCTGCTGTAAATTTTAATATAAGAAGACTGCTGATTGCCTTTCCAAAATGTTGCTATTCTTCTGGTGATTGCAAAGCAATTTATAGGTAAAAGGTACTCCATAAACACTAAGGAATATATATATATATATAATATATGTGTGTGTATATGTGAATTAATTTTTAGAAATGTCATGACCTATTTAAATGTGATCCAAATCTTAAGAGATTTGCTGATTTTGTATATAACTTCTTTATTTTTAACAGTAAAAGCATTTATAGTAATTGTTGTGAAACATTCTATAGCATTTTGTTTAGTTGTACAAATGTTATAAAACAAGAGTTTAGCTGCTTTTTTTTTAATCTTAGGACTCTTTCTTAGCATTTGTATTTTAAAAACAATTTTCCCAAAACATGTTGCTCCACATTTGTAAAAATCCATCCTTTTACAGTAAATCTAAATTTGTAAGTAACAACAAGGATGAGAGATAGTGGTAATGATACAGGCTGATTGATAGAACTGGGTACAGGGGGGCAGTGGTCTGTGACCACATAGATCTTTTTCTTGTTTGGGTTCTTTGTGGTTTCTGTTGTTTTGGTTTGGCTTTTTTTTTTTGAGGCAGGGACTCACTCTGTAACCCATAATGACCCAGAGCATGTTATATGGCTCAAGGCTGGCCTTGACCTCATGATGATCTGTCTGCCTCAGCCTCCCAAATCCTCGGACTACAGACTCGTACCACCACACCTAAATGAGCCCCTTTGGAGGCTGCTCATGCATTATTGATTTCCTCATACAGGAAAGATTTCTAAGGTGTGGTGATGGGATAAAGCACTTGTCAAATATTACTTTGGGAGTTTATTTCTTTTTTATCAAAGTTTAATTTGTCTGAAGTTTCTATTGTGTGTATTTTCAGGATGAGGAACAGGAACAGATCCCTGAGTTGCCAGATCCAAACTTAGATATGGGCATTTTGCCCAGAGAGATCCGGAAACTGGTAGAGCGGAGAAAACAAGTGAAACAGCTAATGAAACAGCAAGATTTAAATCCGGACCTTGTTCTTCAGGTAAATCTTTCTACTGCAAGGTGTTTGCTTGACAGTTTCAGCTTCCGTCACTTGATTATTGAGGGCTAGGATGAATAGGATGGTGTGGGCAAGTACATGTGCTTATTTTATTTGTAATAATAACCATTCAGATGCACTAGACTGCCTCAGAATGGAAGGCTTCTCTAGCTGCTAAGGCCATATCTGAGCAAGATTTTACAGATTTCTTGGGAAATCAGTAGTCTTTGTACTTGCTTCTAAGAGGGTAGGGCAACATGAATGTGGGGAGACAGATTGACTATTAAGTACCCCCTCCCCTGGATATTGAGATGTTCTTTCTCTCATTGTGATCTGGAAAGATACCCAATGTAATGCTGAAGTATCCACAGATAGTGTTGTTCATCATTTGTTGTTGTTGGCCTGCAGTATGACATCCGACAGAAGGCTCTGAAGCTCACGGCCAACAGTATGTACGGTTGCCTGGGATTTTCCTACAGCAGATTTTATGCCAAACCACTGGCTGCCTTGGTGACATACAAAGGAAGGGAGGTAAATGACAAAATAAAATTCACATCAATAAATATGTAAATATGTGCTGCAATATGGGAGAACTAAGTTTATTGCCTAGTTTTTACAGCTTGAAATACTCCTTCTTTAGAGCAAGTTCGAGACAAATAGGCACTTGAGTAAGACTTCATTTGGCAGTTCTGCATGTGTATGTGCAATTATTGAATGTCTGTATGCCAGGCTTTCCTCTAGGCAATAAAGATTGAGTGTGAAACATTATGTAAAGCTTGTATTTGACCCAGACTTGTGGGGGAAAGGGAACAAAAGTAGAGGACCTGGAGTTGATGAGAGGATAGTTTGGGAAAGCAACTGAATAAGTATAACAATGTCTAGGGTGAATATGATAGAACTAATTTTCTTC